GGGTTTGAGGTTCTAAGGCCTTCGAAAGCTGCTACGAAGGTTTTGAGGGTTTTAAGGGGTGCCCAAAACGTGCCAGGTAGCAGTTTCGAAGCCCAATAGAAACAGCTTGTGGGGCCTAGGAAGGTATCATGGCAAAGCAGGCGGGACGCCTTCGAAAGCTGCTGCGGAGGGTTTTGAGGTTCTAAGGCCTTCGAAAGCTGCTGCGGATGTTTTGAGGGTTTTAAGGGGTGCCCAAAACGTGCCACGTAGCAGTTTCGAAGCCCAATAGAAAGAGCTTGTGCAGCCTAGGGGGGTACCATGGCAAAGCAGGCGGGACGCCTTCAAAACCTGCTGCAGAGGGGTTTGACGTTCTAAGGCCTTCGAAAGCTGCTGCGAAGGTTTTGAGGGTTTTAAGGGGTGCCCAAAACGTGCCACGTAGCAGTTTCGAAGCCTAATATAGAAACAGCATGCGAGGCCTAGGGAGGTGCTATGGCAAAGCACGCGGGACGCCTTCGAAAGCTGCTGCGGAGGGTTTTGACGTTTTCTAAGGCCTTCGAAAGCTGCTGCGAAGGTTTTACAGCTTGTGGGGCCTAGGGAGTTTCGGCCCAGGAAGGTAGCATAGCAAAGTATAGAGGAGCTTGGAAAGGTTCCGAGCCTTCGAAGCCAAAGCACGCACAGGGCCATGCCGCACACCTCCGGTGATCCCGGGCGCCGCCCCGCCTAGGCCAAGGCTAGGCAGGGGCCGGCGGATATATTACATATGATATATTATATTATATATTATTTATTACATATTACATATTATCTATTATATATTATATGTTTTTCTATTATAGATATTATAGATATTTTATAATATAAATAATATGTTATATATTATTTAGATTTATTTTATATATCATATATTATATAATTATTATTTATTAAATTTTACTTATTTTATATTATTTATTTTATATCATATAATATAATTTGAATTATATATATTATATATTATAGATTTTATTTTCTATATTTTTTTTATATACTATATATTATATTTTATCAATTATATTTTATTTATTATATATACTGTGTATATATTTTACATATGATAAAATTCAATTTCTATATTATATTATATTTTAATTTATTCAAATATATATATATAATATTATATATCATATATTTTATTATATTATATTATAAATTATATTATATTATATTATATTGTATTATATTATATTATATTATATATTATATTATTATATTATATTATTTTATTTTATATTATATATATTAATTTATATTATATTATATTATATTATATTATATTTTATTATATGATATTATATTATATTATATTATATATTATTATATTATATTATATTATATTGTATTAAATTATATTACATTATATTATATTATATTATGTTATATATTATTATAATATATTATATTATATTATATTATATTATATATATTATATACATATATATTATTGTATACATATTTTTTTTTTTTATAATATATATATATATTATAGATTATCTAAAATTCAGGAACAATGCTCTATTAGGCGCCCAAATTTGATGGCAACAAGCATGGCAACCTCGAGGGCAAAAGCAATGGCAATGGCAATGGCGGTGGCAATCTGCAGGGCAACATGGATGGAAAAAACCGACAGGGGCAAAGGTAACGGCAACATCGGTGGCAAAAACAGTGGCAAATACGTGGCGGGGGTAAAAGCACGGGCGGCAAATTCAATGGCAAAAATTGGGTTGCGAGCAAAAGCCCTTGGCAACACACGCGGCAACGAAAGGGCAAACTTCATTACGGGCAAAAAGCAATAGCAACACAGGTAGCAAAGCTATGGCAAAAATTGTGGCACGGGCTAAAGACTGGACGCGTAAGTGGGAAAAGCAGATGGCACATTGCGTGGCCACAGGATATTGTATGCAGCCGTTGGCTTGCACAAGCGGCTTCTGAAATTGTGTCATATGCAAAGCAAGTGAACATTTTCAATCAGATTGTTGTGGTGTCGAATGATCAAACTTAGTGCTCAGAAATTGTTGTGTTTACAGCTCACTTGGTCAGCAATTGCCTTTCGGCTGTGTTTTTGTCTAATGGTTTTCTGTGAAGCCATGCTGGAACATTGTGGGGCACAGAAAAAAATGTTGAGCGAAATTTTGCCCAGGCAGCTGCCCACCTGCCCGTCAAGAAATAAGGTCAATTTTTGCCAAAATAAGAATGATTTTTGACAAAAATATGCCTTATTTTTTAACGGGCAATGATGGCAACCAAAAACTAGCGCGAATTGTTTTGAAAGGACAAGCGTGCGCTGGGCTAAAGCCAGCAAAGGGATAGTTGAAAACAACCTGCCAGCCTATCATATTTGCTTGGTTTCTTGTTTAATTCATAGGGTCGGTGGGTGTCGCCTCCGCTGAAGGTGCAATAGGGCTGGCATGATTTTTGTCATCTCTCTCTATAGTTGATGTAGCACCAAATTTTGCCAGCACTTTTGCCATCAACTTACCACCCCATTTGCCGCCAAAAAGTCTCTCACACCCTTTCTGTCAACATGTGCCATGTACACTCAACGCCTTTTTGTGACTGAAGGTGTTTGCAACCTCTTCTGCCCAAAAAGCTGCCATCAAATTTTGACACCTCTGCTGCCGCCAAAATGTGATTGCTAAACTGACTTCCGGCTCAATTTTTGCCATGCAAAGTTGCCACCCCCTTTGCCACCAAAATACGGTTGCCACCATTTTTGCCATCACATTCTGCCATCAAACTTGCCACCAAGTCTTCATTGCCACTGAAACTGCCACCCACATTGCCATATCTAACTGCCACCGCCACCGAACTTGCCACCAAACTTGCCACCTTAAACCGCCACGAACCTCTGGCATAAGATAGAACCATATGAAAGCATACCTTTTAAATCTTAGATAAATTATAGATATTATAGATATTATAGATATTATATATTATATATTATATATTTTATAATATACAATAAATATTTTATATTATATATTATATTTTTTATATTATACAATAAATATATTATATATTATATATATATATATTATATATTTTATATTACATAATATATTTCATATATATGTAGTCTATAATAGATTATTGCAGATATTGTCTGACCCTCCGTTTGTACCTTTACCATGGTGAAACTCACCCCATATATGCCGTACCTTTACCGCAACGGGCAAGTCGAGGGTATCGACCCACCGACGACTCACAGGTGAACCTGGAGGGAACTCGAAATTTGCTCGAGGTATGCCGGAAAAGATGCTTGGTGATGTTTACCCTCTGGTAATTTGCTACAGGTTGCCATGGGTCAATGGTGATTAATGGTGATCAATGGTAATTTAATGGTGAATGGTGGTTAATTAATGGCGTTTGATGGTGTTTAATGAGGACTTAAGAATGATTTACCCATATTTACCATCTGGTAGTTTAATTTGCTACAGTTTGATATTGAAAATGGCCATAGACATAGTTGATTTACCTGTTAAAAATGGTGATTTTCCATAGTTATGGAACAGTTTACCAGAGAGTAAGCTTTACATGATGGGTCAAAACCCTGGTACCCAGATGGCATACTCAGTCAAATCTGGTGAATGAGTGTTTCTTCCACCGAATGATTAGAATTGGGCACAAGCGCATGTCCTAACACAACATCTCCAGTAAACAGTAACATTTTGGATTAGCCTCTGGTATATATATATGTGTGTGTGTGCCGTACAACAGTTTGCGAACGGGAACATCCTTATTTTTAAGGCAAATGGTCATTTTATGTCAATAGCCAGGGCCAGGGCCATGGTCATCTTGACGATGGACACAGCGATCCAGGGCGATCCATGGCGATCCCCAAATCACCGTAGGTTTCAATACCAAGTCATGGTCATCCATGACGACTGGATGATTTGGGGGTACCCTCATGAATTGGAAACCTCCATTTACTCCAAGTCTATTTGATGTATATATATATATATACATATATATATGTATATTATTAATTATGGTCTGATTCCTTATGCGGATCTCGTCCCATTGCATCAATGTTGGACTGCCAAGGAGCAGTGGGCTTCCTGGCCTACTTTGTTGCCCGTATTCTAGGAGGTACCCCAATCCTTTCGGCATCAGGTGCCCCTTCTTTTCCGCACGCGTGGTCGGCTGCATTTTACGCTGTATGCCACGCCACGCAGGATCTTAGGCCCAATCCATTGGGCATGCAGCCCATGAATTTCTTGGTAAAATCTTTATCTCATGCCCGCACTGAGGGGGAGACAATTAACAGAATTGTCCGAATAGGTTCTGTGGTCTCCGGGGTTGCAACTGCGTGAGGCTTAGAACGGTGTAAAAGGATGCTGGGCACGCCGCCCCTTCGCCCACTGGCAAGGGTACTGGCCGTGCAAGCACTTGCTGCTGTATAGCAGCCGACGGTACTGATCCTCCTTATATTTCTACCCTATTTGATGTTATATAGAATGATGACTGATTTTACACAATCATACGTATGCGCGTGTGTGTTGCTGTTCCAAGTTGGCATATGCGGGTGTGTTCTTCATATTCTTGCCTTGCTACCCTCTGATGTCCTCAAACATCCCCCTTTGCAGACGATGTTCCCATATATTTTGCCAATCAAAACGTTATCATGTCTGAAGATTTCCCATGGATCTCCCATGTTTGATTCCTGGAGGATAGACTTTTAAGTGAAGAAAATCTGGATAGCTTTGGTTGGTTGGTAGCTTGGCACCAACGAGGAGTCGGCTGCAAGTTCATCTTTGCCTCCTCTGGAGCCTGTTTCGGTGAACGACCTGAGGGGCCTGAAACGGATCTGACCAAATTTCTGCCGAGTACCAGCTATGGCATGAAGCTTGGCATGGTGTAGCTATGGTCACTGATGTCGCTGCAGCGTTTGAAAACAGATTGGTAGGGAAGATTGCCATATAATTACGATGGGATTCGCTGATGCGATTTAAAGTAGAAGCAACAAAAAACCATGAACAACTCAGGGAATTGGTCTTTCTGGATCTTTCAGGTCTTCCAACAGATACTGCCACGGAGCCACAACGCCATCATCCCATGGTGCCTCCACATGGTTTCCCAAGTTTCCAGCACTTGTCACTTAAGGAGGTTTCCTAAGTCATGAGGTACCACCAGTCATCATCCATTTGTAGAAGGATTTTCCGTTGTAAATCATCCGGGGCACCTCCCATGACCTCATAAAACCGCCACAAAGCTCTGTAACCTTTACAAGGTGATGTTTACCCTCTGATAATTCAACAGTTTGCTTTTGAAAATGGCCCTAAAGATAGTTGATGTACCCATTAAAGTTCATTAAAGATTGTGATTTTCCATAGTTATGTAACAGTTTACCAGAGGGTAACCCCTCCCATTTTCGGGGCACGGCCCGTTTTGAGGACGAAGGCGTGTTGTGAGTTGATGATCAACGACTACACACGTCGCAATTTTCTCGATGGCCGGGTGGCACGTTTGCCAACCGTGATCCCTCGACCGGAGCAATGGGATTGGGCAAAACATGCTTGGGATGAATGGATGGGGAGTTATTATCTGGTTGGTGGTTTGGAACATTTTTCCCATATATTGGGAATAGTGATCCCAATTCACAAATTTTTTTCAGAGGGGTTGAAACCACCAACCAGTTATCATTGTCAACATTGTCCAAGTGGTGATTATTGTTACTGGTGTTTAATCACGGTGATATTTATAGTTGGTCTCACTATCATCTTGGTTTCAGTTTCAGATCGCATGAAATCAGAACACATTCAAAACATCAAGAAAACATGGACTGGGCTAGGGATTGCTCTGAGGTTGGCCCAAGCCCGTTGCAGGGTTTCGGGATGGTGCCAGTGAAGACCCAGGTATAGGGCCCAGGCCCCCTAATGGATATCAATACATACCGATGCGTTTCGACCAATAACTTGAAGATAACTTGTGACTCTAAGGGTGATCATTCTGTAGGGATAAAACGCTTTCGGTACCATCCGTGAGGAGCGCAACAGTGGCTTGCCCGCGGCCTTTTCGGATGTGCTGCGGGAACCTTTACTGGGGAAAGATTGCGTCTTGAACCTCCCACCAGACATGCCTCATGCAGTGTGTGGCTATCGGGTTCTGGTCAGGACGCAGTTCCCGCCTCCGTGGGAACTGGTGGGCACACGTTGAGAGAAGACCGGTTGACCATTGATCAGCTGATCAGCTGTAGCCTGTAGCATCCTATAGCTTGAATATGCTTGAATCAAATATATGGGTGTAGACGCAACAAGATTGACAATCCATTTTATGTCGCAATTCAGGGCAGTGATGTCACATGTTTCACATGTTACGGAATGTTCCGGATTTTCCAGTGGCACGAAAAGATCCGCTTAACTTTTTCAAGCCGAACTCAGCCAGGTTCTTCGCATGGTCGCCGTAAGGCTGTAAGGTTTTCGGCCATTGTTTGTTTGAGAAAGGGCTGAAAATTCGACCAAAAGACCGAGTCACCAATCTTGAAACAATCCGTGGATAAACTTCATGTGGCGCTGCCTCTGCGAAAACTTCTTCTTCTTCTTCATGTGGCGGCGTGAATCACATAATTTCTATTTGACGTGTTTGATGGTTTTTATTTGGTTCAGTGAAGAATAGTATTAGGATGTATTAGGGCATACCCCGGTTGCCGAAAATACAATATTTTAGGTTACAAAAAGACGTAGTAGCACCCCAAGAACGAGGTAGTCAGGAATTGACAACGAGGTAGGAACACCCTGTCAATTGCGTGATGTCCGCGGCGTACAGTATGTGATTGATGTGTGTCACCCCCTCCTTACGATGTTTCCCCTCTTGGAGATACGAATCCCATTGACCCATGCCATCGTTGCCAGTGCCACCAATAGAATCCAAAACATGCCACTTCATGCATTTTCCCTGACCCTCCGTTTGTACCCCTGTGTTTTACCCCAAAATCAACTATACTTTGACCATTTGTTTAGGTTATTTGGAGGGTCTAGGTTCATGAACATGTTCATATATTCATATTCATATATATAAATATATATAAATATAGATAAATATAGATAAATATATATAAATATATTTAAGTATATTTAAATATATATAAATATAAATAAATATATATAAATAAATATATTTATAAATATAAATATGTATAATATTAATAACAATAATAATAATAGTAATAATAAAATAATAACAATATTAATATATATCTATATATTTTATTAGTATGTTCATTCAGTTTCAACCATGTTCATATATGTTCATACTCAAAAGATGAAGACCCCCGCTTTGAAAACCAGGAATTTGCTCCACTTGGCCGATCTCCCGGCAGCTGCCTTCGCAGATTCCACGGATCGCTCTATGAATTTGCCGTGCCTCGGCCGCGAACGTTCGCGTTGAAGCAAAAGAAACAATTAAGTTGTGGCTGGAGTTCGAATTGAGTTATTACTGGTTGGTGGTTTGGAACATTGTTTTTCCATATATTGGGAATAATAGTCCCAACGGACTAATATTTTTCAGAGTGGTTGAAACCACCAACCAGATTATTATGTATTATTATCTATTAATTATTGCTACTATTATTACTATTATCTGTGATGATCAAGTCATTATATTTACTGTCAATGATCTATTTTTTTAAAAACCGGTGATTTTCAGGTGGAAACCATCAACATACTGCAGCCATTTTTCTCCTTGTTTTTGCCCCTGTGTTGTATCCTCCTTTTCCCCCATTTGTCTCTCTACTTTTTCTCTACTTGTCTCCCGCTACTCTCATCCTATGTTTCTTTGATACGTGTTTCACTATTTTTCCCCACATGTCTGTGCGGGGGTCTTGTTTTTGATTCTGTATCCCGCCGCCGCCTCCGCCGCCTCCGCCGCCTCCGCCTCCGCCTACGCCGCCCATCTTTGTCAACCACCATCTGTCACACACAACTTTGCCACACACATCTTTGTCAACCACCATCCTTCACACACAACCTTGTCACACACAACTTTGTCACACACACAACTTGTCACCCACCATCTTTCACACACAACTTTGTCACACACAACTTGTCACCCACCATCTTTCACATACAGCTTCGTCACACATCATCTTTCACACACATCTCTGTCACACATCATCTTTCACACACATCTTTGTCAACCACCATCTTTCACAACTTTGTCACACACAACTTGTCACCCACCATCTTTCAAACACAACTTTGTCACACATCATCTTTTACACTTGTCAACCACCATCTTTCACACACATCTTTGTCAACCACCATCTTTCACACCTTTGTGTCACACACCATCTTCCACAGCACCATCTTCCACAGCACCATCTTCCACACACATCTTTGTCAACCACCATCTTTTACACACAACTTTGTCACACACAACTTGTCACCCACCATCTTTCACATACAGCTTTGTCACACATCATCTTTCACACACGTCTCTGTCACACATCATCTTTCACACACATCTTTGTCAACCACCATCCTTCACACACAACCTTGTCACACACAACTTTGTCACACACACAACTTGTCACCCACCATCTTTCACACACAACTTTGTCACACACAACTTGTCACCCACCATCTTTCACATACAGCTTTGTCACACATCATCTTTCACACACGTCTCTGTCACACACCATCTTTCACACACATCTTTGTCAACCACCATCTTTCACACACAACATTGTCACACACAACTTGTCACCCACCATCTTTCACATACAGCTTTGTCACACATCATCTTTCACACACGTCTCTGTCACACATCATCTTTCACACACATCTTTGTCAACCACCATCCTTCACACACAACCTTGTCACACACAACCTGTCACACACAACTTTGTCACACACACAACTTGTCACCCACCATCTTTCACACACAACTTTGTCACACACAACTTGTCACCCACCATCTTTCACATACAGCTTCGTCACACATCATCTTTCACACACATCTCTGTCACACATCATCTTTCACACACATCTTTGTCAACCACCATCTTTCACAACTTTGTCACACACAACTTGTCACCCACCATCTTTCACACACAACTTTGTCACACATCATCTTTTACACTTGTCAACCACCATCTTTCACACACATCTCTGTCACACACATCTTTGTCAACCACCATCTTTTACACACAGCTTTGTCACACATCATCTTTCACAACTTTGTCACACACCATCTTTCACACACATCTTTGTCAACCACCATCTTTCACACACAACTTTGTCACACACAACTTGTCACCCATCTTTCACATACAGCTTTGTCACACATCATCTTTCACACACATCTCTGTCACACATCATCTTTCACACACATCTTTGTCAACCACCATCCTTCACACACAACCTTGTCACACACAACTTTGTCACACACACAACTTGTCACCCACCATCTTTCACGCACAACTTTGTCACACATCATCTTCCACACACATCATCTTTCACACACATCATCTTTCACACACACATTTGTCACACACACACACCATCTTTCACACGCAACTTTGTCACACAACTTTAAGGCACTTGGTGACATTCACCTTCGTTTCACGTGGCAGGCGCGGCACAAGTTGCACTTAATTGGTGGCGTGGCACTGACACCTTCATTTCACGTGGCAGGCGTGGCACTTGGTGACATCCACCTTCGTTTCACGTGGCAGGCGTGGCACTTGGTGACATCTATCTTCGTTTCACGTGGCAGGTGTGGCACTTGGAGACATCTACCTTCGTTTTGCGTGGCAGGCGTGGCACTTATGGCACTGGGCTGGCTCTGGTGGCGCGCTTGGGCTGGTATTGGTCGCTGGTGATGCCGCGGCACTTTGCGTGGCAGGCGTGGCACTTGGCGTGGCACTTGGCAGGTGTGGCACTTGGAGACATCTACTTTCGTTTTCCGTGGCAGGCGTGACACTTATGGCACTGGGCTGGCTCTGATGGCGCGCTTGGGCTGGCATTGGTCGCCGGCGACGCCGCGGCACTTTGCGTGGCAGGCGTGGCACAGGCGTAACACTTGGTGGCATATCTATCTTCGTTTCACTTGGCAGGCGTGGCATTTGGTGACATCCACCTCCGTTTCATTTGGCAGGCGTGGCACTTGGAGACATCTACCTTCGTTTTGCGTGGCATGCTGGGCACTTATGGCACCGGGCTGGCTCTGATGGCGCGCTTCACGTGGCAGGCGTGGCGCTTGGAGACATCTACCTTCGTTTTGCGTGGCAGGCGTGGCGCTTATGGCACTGGGCTGGCTCTGGTGGCGCGTTTCGGCTGGGATTGGTCGCCGGTGACGTCGCGGCACTTTGCGTGGCAGGCGTGGCACAGGCGTGGCACAGGCGTGGCACTTGGTGATGTCTATCTTCGTTTCACGTGGCAGGCGTGGCATTTGGTGACATCCACCTCCGTTTCACGTGGCAGGTGTGGCACTTGGAGACATCTACCTTCGTTTTGCGTGGCAGGCGTGGCACTTATGGCACTGGGCTGGCTCTGGTGGCGCGTTTCGGCTGGGATTGGTCGCCCGGCGTTGCACTTGGCGACATTCACTTTCGTTTCACGTGGCAGGCGTGGCGCTTGGTGACATCTACTTGCGTTTCGCGTGGCAGGCGTAGCACTTATGGCACTGGGCTGGCTCTGATGGCGCGCTTGGGCTGGGATTTTGCGTGGCAGGCGTGGCACAGGCGTGGCACTTGGAGACATCTACCTTCGTTTTGCGTGGCAGGCGTGGCACTTATGGCGCTGGGCTGGCTCTGGTGGCGCGCTTGGGCTGGGATTGGTCGCCGGTGACGTCGCGGCACTTTGCGTGGCAGCTGTGTGGCACTTGGTAACATCCATCGTCGTTTCACGTGGCAGGCACGGCCCTTGGTGACATCCACCTTCCCTTCAGCACGTGGCAGGCGTGCACTTGGCGACACCCACCTGCGTTTTGGGTGGCAGGGGTGGCACTGGGCGTTTTGCATCGCAGGCGTGGCAGGGGTGCCACTGCGCGGCACTTTCACACACCATCTTTCACACACACCATCTTTTACCCCAACTTTGGCACACACACACACACCATCTTTGACACACCATCTTTCACACACCACTTTGTCACACACCATCTTTCACACACACCATCTTTCGCACCCAACTTTGTCACCCACCATCTTTGACACA